TTTTTTTTTGTACCTATTAACCATTCCACTTCACTCCCCCAAACCCCCACTCCCCCTCCCACCCTCTGGTAACCAACCTTCTACAATCTATGTCCATGAGTTCAATTGTTTTGGTTTTTAGATCCCACAAATAAGGGAGAACATGCGACGTTTCCCTTTCTGTTCCTAGCTTATTTAGTGTATTGTAATTCAAACCTTTCTTTTACAAAAGTTTGAAAGAATTGAAAGGCCCTCGGGATAAATAACAGCTGTCAAAAGAACATTTCCCAAGTCCAATTCGTGTCATCCTGGAGATTTTGAAAGCTTTTACTCATATGTTGGATTAGCACAGCTAAAAGTCTCTGATCACAGGCACGTCCGAGAGTTAATGAACCCAACACGCCTTGATGCTGTGCAGGAGAATCACCAGGACCACAGCTTAGTCCCTCCTCCCTCAGGGAGGGCCACAACATGAAGCCAGAGTGTGATTGGCCTAGGCTCTTTACTAAAGAGCATTTAATGATGAAGGAGGATGCTTCCAAGAGGCTAGACAGCAGAGAGAGGAGAAGCAAAGAGAGAAAGAAGGAAGGAAGGTGGCCTAGCCTTCATCAAGGCAGAAAAGATTCAGGACAGGCAAAGAAGTGAGAAGCTGGGAAGGTGCTCACTATCAGGTTTGTGAAAAGACAACTAGGCTCAGAAGTTTTCAGTGTAGGTGTCATACTGCAATGGAATGAAAAGGGAGAAAGGCAGTCATTTTATGGTTCAATCAGAGGTGAGGATTAGAAATTTCAAGCATTAACCCAGAAATCCTAGGGATTCAATGACAATGAAATTTGAAGAAAAGTGTGGGGACAATGGGAGCCTTGTAGGAAGGAATCAGTCATACCCAGGTGAGAAGCATCAGCCAAAAGGAAAACCCATAACAAATGGGGAAGCTGAGTTCTATGCAAAGCAGGAGGCAAATGGGAAATGCAGCGTGCCCAGGAAAAGGCTCAACATGTACACCTGGCAGGAGATCCAGAGGCATAATCAGGAGGCCGACCAATGGCTGGTCATCAATCGCAAGGTTTACAATGTCTCCAGCTGGGCAGACAGGCATCCAGGTGGGCGCCGGGTCCTCAACCACTATGCTGGGGAAGATGCCACGGTAAGAAACTCCAAGCTTTCCCCCACAACCCTCTCCGTCTTTCCCCCAGCTGTCGGGTGGCTGAGATCTTGGCTGTCTTCCCAAAAGCATTGCACAATCATTCATCTCTTCCCAAACCAACTTTTCAGGATTCCTCTCTAGCAAAATTTTAGTAGTAAATTAAGCCTCAAGGTCTAACTATGAGCTGTACCTGGTTTGGGATGAGTTCAGATACTGCCAGTGAATACTATGTTTGCATATTCTGAGTTTTCTTTTGTTCTTGGTGGTTTGTTTTGCTTTGTTTTGAAGCTGAGTCACTGTCTTACAAGAAGAAAATGACGAATATGTGAGTAAAATCTGGGAAAATTAAAAAAAAAAAGAACATCTGAACCCAAATAGAAATTTATAAGACTTACAAATTTCAAATAATTGGAGTGCATAAAAGAAAGAAAGTCAGTCACACAGTGGGCATGAAAATGTTGTGAATAATGATGAAAGCCTACAATTACCTAGGCTTTAAGAGCTTGAAGAGCTCTTTGGCTTCCTGTAGTTCATTCAGTATCATACAGGTAATGCAACCCCACCTTTTATTGACACATTGAAATGCATCACCTCACTTAAACCTACAAGGAAGGTGACTATTATTTCCGTATTACAGATGAGAAAGTTGACATTCAAAGATGTAAAAAACATGTCACACAGCCAGCAAGTAATGGTGCCAAATTTTGAAATCAGGTCGGTTTGATCCTAAAGCCCTAAATATCTGGATTGTAAAAGAATAAAATAAAATTTCTACTTATTTGATAAAATGGTGTCTCAAAATCTTAAATGCCTTAAGGAATCTCTTTTAAAATATTCCATAAAGAAGTCAATTTTCTCTCAATTGGGACTTTTATTTCCCACACTGTACAGACGAAGAAACAGAATTAGAGGAACTAAGCAACTAACTCAAGGTCAGAAATTAATATATGACAGAATAGAAATGTAAATTCAGGCTTTTAAAAATTATGTGGCTCCTGTTGGTTTTACAGTTTAGCATATAACTTCTTTAACTGCTTTTAAAGATTGGATTGAAAACATTATTTTGCTAAGCACCAGTCTATAAATGGTACCGTACTAATCCTAACAAAATTCACAAATACCTGCAAGATTTCATCTTTTGATGCCATCAACATCTCTTCCTCAATTCTTATTCTTCCCCCAATTTCTCATCGCTCTTCTCTGTGTAGGCTCTTGTTCTTCTACCACCTTCCTATCTTATTTCTACAGTCAGAGTAATACCTTTCTGAGTATGCCCTGCTACAGCCCCACCACTTCCCTCAGATATATTTTTTTAAACAAATTTCAAACTTTCCTTGGAAAATAAGCATGAGCTTATACACAGTGCCCAGAAATCAGACAGCAGAGGGTAGAAGCAGCAAGAAGAAAAGCATTTGTGTAAGAACAACAGGAGAAAAAAAAAAAGAAGAAGAAGAAGAAGAAAATGTAAAACATACTACAGATGCCTATCTATCCCATCCCCTTATTTCCACAACTCAGAGAAAATACAGATGAGGCTTTGCTAACACAAGTCACAGAATTGGCTCAGAGGATGTGTTCGCAAAGACATGAGCCTTCAACCACCTTAAAAATAACTGATAGCCTCACTCAGCTGGAGGCAGCCAAGATAGATGATAAAGTTTTAGTTGGCTAATGATTTTTATCTCCTGGAAGTCAGGAAAAGACCCTGAGTTTGTGTCCAATTATAGCCAACAAGGAGGAATTAATTAATATAACAGAAACCATCAGAATCTTGGGGGAAAATACCCATGCCACCTTAGGATTTACGTATGTCAAGGAAGAAAATCATAAGTTGGTCAGTCATGTACCTTAGACTTTAGGAAAATAAATAAAAAATGTCCAGAGAAAAGATTCTCCTAGAGAAAATGGCTTAAGAAGAAACGGGGAGTGCCAGAACAATCCACAGTACTCCACGACTCAGAGTACAGGGAGCCTGAGCTTTGGAATAGGTTATGTGAACCTAGGAATGTTATTAGGATGTTCTGAGTCTCAGCTTCCTCATCTGCAAAATGAGGCTGACATTACCCATCTGAGTGATTTATGGCAAATAGAACCAATGCATGTAAAGTGTTTGGCATTAGTGCCAGATACTTAGTAAAAGTTCATTCAGTCATAGCCATTATCAGTCATATCACCAGCACCTTTATCCTCAGAAATATAATTAGTATTTCCTGTTTGTTCACCACCAGCTTAGAAATCCTGTTTATATTTTGTGTCATCTGATTGGGAACGGAGGGCTATATAATGAAGCATCATGCTTTCTTTTTGAGACGGAGTCTCGTTCTGTCGCCCAGGCTGGAGTGCAGCTGTGCAGTGTCGGCTCACTGCAAGCTCCGCCTTCCGGGTTTACGCCATTCTCCTGCCTCAGCCTCCCGAGTAGCTGGAACTACAAGCTCCCGCCACCACGTCCGCTAATTTTTTGAATGTCTTTGTATTTTCAGTAGAGACGGGATTTCACTGTGTTAGCCAGGATGGTCTCGATCTCCTGACCTGGTGATCTGCCCTCCTCGGCCTCCCAGTGAAGGAGGGAAGATCATAAAGTCAGAAGGCCTGATATCAAATGCTTACCCCATAACTTAAGAGTCGTTTGCAGGTCAAGCCTCTGAGTGGCAAGTGTGAACCAAAGTACTCTCACTGTGTGCCAACCCCGGGCCCATGGCTGCACCTGCCCAGAGATGCACCCTTTTCTTATATACATAGTAACTCTTCTCTAGGTCTCCATCGTCCTCATAAAAGGTGAATGATGGTATCTACGTAATCTATCCCACAGCGTCATTAATTCATTCATTCACGCAGTCAGTTGTTCCAGAACTCTTGTTAGGGTTCCACCCTCATGGGAATGAAACAGGTCTGCTTTGCATCTGGGCTCTACATTTACTAGGAATGTCCTGAGGCTCTTGAAGTCTCAGCTCCCTTATCTAGAAAATGAGGATAATAATACCTTCACCTTAGCATTGCCATAAAAGTCAGCAGAGATCAAATGAAGTGCTCACCATGGTGCTTGGTACAGATTAGACGCTCAAAAAATAGCAGCTCTTGCATTTTGTTATTACTTCACTCTTCTGAGATGGGTTTCCATTTTCTCCAAGGAACTTTACTAAAAAAAATAAATCTATAAAACAAAATTGGTACATAAGCTCCTGTTATTGCACATATGAGGTATCTGGTATTTTCAAATGATACGATTTAAAACTAATGTCACTATGCTAATAACTAGAGTTATGGCCACAGTCTTTTTATCTGTAAGAGCTCACCTAGGAAAATGCAGAAACAACCTGTAAGTACAACAAGGAGGATTGATTCTATAGATTATAATTATAATACAATAAGCTATTTTGCAATAACATGAGGATTATAAAACATATTTTTCTTCTTTTTTGTTGTTGTTTTTTATTACACTTTAAGGTCTAGGGTACATGTGCACAACGTGCAAGTTTGTTACTTATGTATACATGTGCCGTGTTGGTGTGCTGCACCCATTAACATTTACGTTACGTATATCTCCTAATGCTATCCCTTCCCCCACCCCCTCCCTACAATAGGACCCAGTGTGTGATGCTCCCCTTCCTGTGTCCAAGTGATCTCATTGTTCAGTTCCCACCTATGAGTGAGAACATGCAGTATTTGGTTTTCTGTTCTTGCGATAGTTTGCTGAGAATGATGGTTTCCAGCTGCATCCATGTCCCTACAAAGGACACGAACGCATCCATTTTTATGGCTGCATAGTATTCCATGGTGTATATGTGCCACATTTTCTTAATCTAGTCTGTCACTGATGGACATCTGGGTTGATTCCAAGTCTTTGCTATTGTGAATAGTGCCGCAATAAACATATGTGTACATGTGTCTTTATAGCAGCATGACTTATAATCCTTT